AAATTTTTGGCCTACACCCCCCCCTACGGCCCTGGATACAGACTTGCCGACTGGAACTTCTCCAGGTCCCCCGCTAATTATATCCTCTCCAGTTAAACATCCTTAAAAAAGGCCCTGAACCAAATGTTATACCTCATAGCAATATGTATTATTAAGAGCAATGCATGAAGCGGAAAACTCCACGTTAACTATAATTAAAGAATCTAAATAGTATAAGCTATTGAAAAAAAATGCTGCGAAAGAAAGTGTGGCAAAAAAACTCGTACATGGTGCAATACGTACAATAAATAAAAATCTTGCACGTAACGATTACCCCCCCCCCCTCAAAAGTTAAATGATCGGCCCCTAATCGGGTCCAGTCCATGTTTTACTAACGAATCCAGTCCATGTTTTACTACATGCCCTCTTATACACTAAAGTTGATGTTATTATCAATTATTAAAATTACAATTTACAAAAAAAAACAGACAAAGAACTACATTTAGGATTGTTTTACTAATCGAGTCCATGTTTTACTAATCGAGTCCATGTTTTACTAATAAAGTCCATGTTTTACTAATAAAGTCCATGTTTTACTAATAAAGTCCATGTTTTACTAATCGAGTCCATGTTTTACTAATCGAGTCCATGTTTTACTAATCGAGTCCATGTTTTACTAATCGAGTCCATGTTTTACTAATCGAGTCCATGTTTTACTAATCGAGTCCATGTTTTACTAATCGAGTCCATGTTTTACTAATCGAGTCCATGTTTTACTAATCGAGTCCATGTTTTACTAATCGAGTCCATGTTTTACTAATCGAGTCCATGTTTTACTAATCGAGTCCATGTTTTACTAATCGAGTCCATGTTTTACTAATCGAGTCCATGTTTTACTAATAAAGTCCATGTTTTACTAATAGAGTCCATGTTTTACTAATAGAGTCCATGTTTTACTAATCGAGTCCATGTTTTACTAATCGAGTCCATGTTTTACTAATCGAGTCCATGTTTTACTAATCGAGTCCATGTTTTACTAATCGAGTCCATGTTTTACTAATAGAGTCCATGTTTTACTAATCGAGTCCATGTTTTACTAATCGAGTCCATGTTTTACTAATCGAGTCCATGTTTTACTAATCGAGTCCATGTTTTACTAATAAAGTCCATGTTTTACTAATAGAGTCCATGTTTTACTAATCGAGTCCATGTTTTACTAATCGAGTCCATGTTTTACTAATCGAGTCCATGTTTTACTAATCGAGTCCATGTTTTACTAATCGAGTCCATGTTTTACTAATAGAGTCCATGTTTTACTAATCGAGTCCATGTTTTACTAATCGAGTCCATGTTTTACTAATCGAGTCCATGTTTTACTAATCGAGTCCATGTTTTACTAATAGAGTCCATGTTTTACTAATAAAGTCCATGTTTTACTAATCGAGTCCATGTTTTACTAATCGAGTCCATGTTTTACTAATAAAGTCCATGTTTTACTAATAAAGTCCATGTTTTACTAATAGAGTCCATGTTTTACTAATCGAGTCCATGTTTTACTAATCGAGTCCATGTTTTACTAATAAAGTCCATGTTTTACTAATAGAGTCCATGTTTTACTACATGCATTGAAATTAACATGTAACTATGGGCGGAGCGACGCGTTACTAAGGCGGCTTATTAAATTTGACCCCCCCGCCAAGACTCAGACAACCTGTCAACCACTTTAGTTTGATGGTTTGTTTACAGTTTATTTGTGCGAAATAATACACACCTTGTACTTTTCGCTTTACCTGAAGGTGCCAGTGCAAAATATTTTTGCTTTGGAATTAGAAATATAAACTTTTTGTCACTTTAGTATCGACTATTATGTGGGTTAATAGTGGTGTCTACTGTATATTTAATGTTGCTGATTTCATGTTACTAAGTTTGGTCGCTTTAAAACCAATTTTGTTTGTCTACTAAGTGCCCATTAGCGTAAATATTCGACGTTCCAAATTATGTTTTGACTAACCAATTTATGTTCGCTGCTAGTACAATTCTATACAAAATGATAGTTTGTTTGTCTGATCCCTGATTCATCGAAAAACTTTACGTGGTTCGGATCTTGGGCAAGCATGTAATCTATGAAGAATTGCGTATATAAAATGTTGTTTGTGAATCGTTCAGAAGCAATATGAGTTATTCGAATCGAATCGCACAGCTTAAGGTAGATAAAGAAACATTTTGAGCCGCCTTAGTAAGACGTTGCTCCGCCCATAGTTACATGTTAATTTCAATGCTAAAACAACTCGAAAAAAATGCACGGTGCACGCTCAATTGCAAATGGCGGTATTCGTATATTTTCATAATCTTAAGTAATATAACGTATCGACAATAACATTCATGAGTCTCATGAGACAATTTAACTAAAATATATAAAATATTTTGTAACTTACCTTTGACTGAAATTGTAAGTATTGCTGCTTATTAAAGTATAGATTTTGTCTTTTGAAACCTTTTGTCATCCATGTTAAATTGATTCCATTTTAACTCCTTCGAACTCCCCTCCCCCCTGATCGCCATTATAAATTTTAATGAGATTCAAAAATACTCCTAAATTCTGGGAGTATTTGACCAGCAGCCTAGCCATAGGCTCTCGCGCGCTTGGAATGCTTGGTTTATAGGGGTACGAAGGGGTAATTGTGGTGGGAGAGGCATACCTAAGCTAGTTTTATCGATCGACGGTTCGTTTTTCGTTGCCCCTGCAGAACGACTAGGAACTAGGCTGTTTGACCAGCATTTACCAGGGCCTTCGCCCTCAGCAGGAGGCCCTGGGTACGAGGTTGGCAGTACAACTGTACAAGGTCTCAAGGGCAAGGTCAAGTTGTCGATTTCATTACATTTTACAGTACTTCGGAATGTTTTCGAACTCTTGCTTCATACAAGAGCAGTAAACGCACGCATTTCAAAGCGAAATTAGACGCAAAGGGGCAATTTTTCAACAAAATTCATTGTTAAATTATGTTTTCTATGTGCCTTGGGAGCAAAAAAATATGATTTTAAATTTGGAGGAATCGGTAAATTTTTTTGCAATTTCGCCTGGTATTGCACCCTACCTATGTAATGACTGTGCTGTAAAAGTAATCAAATATACTATTTTGAATTTCCCTTCATTGAAAGGATCTACTATTGTGGACTAAACTAAATTTTAATCAGCATACAAGGCTGCAAACAACAGCCAAGAATTAGCTGGGTAGTTTGCAAACTTTAAAAAGAATTGGACCTCAAACTTTGATCCCCAAAAGTAAACAAATGGCCAATTAATACTGAGAACATAATTCAAGTTTTGACCACTAGGGGCAATTTTTAGATGTAAAAAAACTTGTTTAAATTACATATCAAACAAAAGGCAAAACAAAATTTGGTATTAATTTTTTGGAGGAAACGTCAAGGTTTTTTGCTATCCGCGCACGCTTCTACACCCCCTCCCCCAGGACCTTCTCTATCAGAAAACAGTTTTCTGCAGAAACTATGCTTTTTTATCAGGAAAATTTTTACTTTTCTCAAAAAAATACTTTAGAAACACGGAAACCTTAAATATTTAAATAATTTTCATACCTTTTTGGGATTGCAAAAAGCAAAATTTGATTCATTATCACACTTTTTAAAATATATGTGACAAAGTTGCTTCGAAATCACTATCACGCAGTAGCATGTTTATTTACCCGCATCCTTTTGACTGAATAAAGTTTATCTTTTTGAAAAGCTATTTGTTTATAGCACTTGGTTAGCAGTTTACGTTTATGTCGATTTTGGCACCCATGAGGCCAACAAGTTATGGTAATCCGCGAATGAAAACTGATATTCGAAGAGCACAAAAGCCAACTCCTAGCTATGTAACTTTATCGCCTGAATTTTGAATCAATCCACAATTAAATTTCTGGTAATGTAGATGCTTTCCATACTTGAGATGTTAGTGAAGTTTTTCCAACAATTTAATTTCCTTAATCGCCGTCTTAAAAATGCAAAATCATCAGTTGAAATTTCACTCGTGTTGTTTTTTAAAATTTTCGAATTTTTGTAAAATATCGCGTGCGCCAGCAATTTCTCTGCACAGCGACAACAAATTTCCCAGCTGTTTACATATACATAAAGATTAGGACTGCTGCCTCGCTCGCTCGCTTCACGCTCCCTCGCTACGGCAGCAATGAGCAAAGTCTAAGATATAAAATATATAGGGGATTAACCTGCCTCGTCCCCAGTCGCTTATTAATCAGGAGAAATGAAAAAAACGAATAATTAAGAGGAAAACCTTAGTTGCGGGCGTGCGCCTTTATCGGGCTTGCAGTGCACGCGCTGAACTATATATTACTGATATTTAAATACGTTGATCTCAGTTAAATTTGATCTACATAGAGGAGCCTGTGGAGGAGGCAGGGAAAGTACATTTATTATGCCGAGGGGGGGATGAAGATGTTAAGGGGGGGCTCCGAAATATTTTCTGGCATTAAAGGGGGGGCTCTGAAAGTTCTTGATATACTGAAGGGGGGGCTCTAAACTTTTCAAAGGTTGGTTTATGCGCGATATATCAAGTCACGGGTGACGTCACAAGTCAAGAGTGACGTCACACCAATAGGAGATAATGGAATTATATCATTTCGTTTTGTTCTTTGTTTTTTAAATAATACTAGTTTTAGCTACCTATTTGTTTTGGATCGTCAGGCTTTTTGGCTGGTGCATTTGGATCGTTTCCTTTTTGTAGATCATTCGGATCATTTGTTGTTCTTTGTTTTTTAAATAATACTAGTTTTAGCTACCTATTTGTTTTGGATCGTCAGGCTTTTTGGCTGGTGCATTTGGATCGTTTCCTTTTTGTAGATCATTTGGATCATTTGCTTTTTGTAGATCATTCGGATCATTTGTTTTTTGGCTGGTGCATTTGGATCATTTGCTTTTGTTGATCATTTGGATCATTTGCTTTTTGTGGATCATTTGGATCATTTGCTTTTTGTGGATCATTTGGATCATTTGCTTTTTGTGGATCATTTTAGATCATTTGCTTTTTGTAGATCATTTGGATCATTTGCTTTTTGTGGATCATTTGGATCATTTGCTTTTTGTGGATCATTTGGATCATTTGCTTTTTGTGGATCATTTGGATCATTTGCTTTTTGTGGATCATTTGGATCATTTGCTTTTTGTAGATCATTTGGATCATTTGCTTTTTGTGGATCATTTGGATCATTTGCTTTTTGTGGATCATTTGGATCATTTGCTTTTTGTGGATCATTTTAGATCATTTGCTTTTTGTAGATCATTTGGATCATTTGCTTTTTGTAGACCATTTGGATCATTTGCTTTTTGTGGATCATTTGGATCATTTCCTTTTTGTGGATCATTTGGATCATTTGCTTTTTGTAGATCATTTGCATCATTTGCATCATTTGCTTTTTGTGGATCATTTGGATCATTTGCTTTTTGAGGATCATTTGGATCATTTGCTTTTTGTGGATCATTTGGATCATTTGCAATTCAATTTCAATCCGCCAGGCGCCAGAACAAAAATCAAACTTGCGCGTACGGCGCAACCAGCATTATATAAACAATTAGTCATCTGTAGGAACTATTGCGGTGCAGGGGACGTTTAAGCGATAAATAGTACTGTATTATTTAAAATAAAGCTTTTGATATAAACGTTTAGTTGCTTTCTTGCGATATACGAAATCCATGCGGCTGGTGGTCCGTTATTTAGAAATAGACCTAAGTACATGTGTTCGAAACTTTCAACACGACACTGAGACTGAAAGACCTGAAAATATAGCTAAACTACAAATTTAACGAACAGAAAATATTTGCGTAGCA